TACCCACGCCCACTTATGGTTACATGTATATATCTTGGTAACCGCTGCACCAATTTCTTCCAAACTTGGCACAGTTGTTGGTCTTCGCACAACATACCAAATGGCCGAAAATTTTTAAAATCGCTCAATAACCACGCCCACCTCCCATATAACGGTAATTTAGAGAAATACATAATCTTCGATAAATCAGTAAATATTGAAGCTAATTTATTCAAAATTGATGCTTGCAACAATTCTTTACCAAGAAATACGTTTATGGTAAAATTTTGGAAAATGGGCGTGGCACCGCCCACTTATGATCACATATAAGTATATCGGTAACCGTTCTACCAATTTGTACCAAACTCGGTGTGTGCCACATATAAGCAAAACGTTGAAAATTATTGAAATCTGACTAAAATAACGGCCGCTTCTCATATAACGGTGAATTTCAGAAATGCTTGAAACTTCAATATTTCGAAATTGAAGGACGCTAACTTACTCAAAATTGATACACCCCGGCTTACCATTTAGCGGAAGGTTTCGGAAAGGTGAAAAAACATATATTTAATACTTGCGCCGGGTATTTAATGTTCGGCTCCGCCCGAACTTAGACTTTCTTACTTGTTTGTATTAGCGTTAGTGTAAGAACGAAATTGAATTTTTTTATAACTTATCTCATAATAAAAAAAGTTGAATGGAGAACAGTTAAACTGAGTGTTTCATTAAAATTGATTTTATTAAAATTTGGATTATTAATTCATTGTTTTAAATTAAAGTTGGTTTGCTTTTTTATCTTAAAATCTAAAGAGTTTGCAATTCGGTTTCTTATATTTTGTGCTGCAGCCAAATACTGGGGCGAGGTTAAACAGGTAACATCTGTATTTTCACTAATTTGGATTATCTGTTCCTCCGCTGGGTTTACTTCGCTTATATCTGTGTATGCCTTAAAATGTATGCATATATTGTGTAACGCACAACAAACATTCACTATTTTAACTGCTTTTCTGGGAGTGTGATGCAGTTCTCATGCCCCAAAGAGACACCTCTACCGATTCTTCAGCACTCCATTAACTCGTTCAATCAAGTTACGACATTTCGAATGGGCTTCATTAAATTTTAGCTGGTTGGAGCCTTCTTCTGGGCTTCGATATGGTGTCAGGAGCCATGGTTCCAAGGGGTATCCAGCGTCTCCCAATTATAAAAAATGTGTCGTATTAAAGCATATATTCACATTTCACTAATTTTAATTTTACCTAGCAACCAAAAATTTCCTTCACCTCGCAAATACTGTGTTTCAAGGTGAGTTCTCAACAAACTGCCATTCCAAATAAAGGAGTCATGAGAAGCAGCAGGATGGGAGGCATCAACATACCGAATTCTAAGCTCGTGGTCGTGGTTTACCAATATATAATGACACGCATTCGTTAACATACATATGTATATACATAAAAATTTTCAGTTTAGTTGTTATACAAGTAAGGCTTTTAAATAACAGCTTACCAGCATCACATTTAGGTTATAGTATCCGTTCCTATTGTAGTATAGGTGCTTATTTACAGAGGGTGCGATGATACGAATATGTGTTCCATCAAGACACCCTACAATACTGGGAATACCATGTTTTTCGTATAATGTACGTGAAATTCGTCTTCTTTCATCGCTGCTCATTGACGCATTTATCCACCTTGAGCACAACAACGTTTCAAAAATATCTGTCACTTCTTCCAGAACTTTACTGAAGACGGACTGGGCTAGAGAAACGTCGAAGTCCTTTCCAATTCCCGTTCGATATCCTCCTTCAACAAAGAAACGCAAACATGCGCTCAGTTTTATAACAGGCGAAACTGCAAACTGTTTTTTAGCTTGCTGAGTATGCGAGGTTAGGAGTTCCAACAAATATCGAAAAGCGGGCTTATTTACCCTATAATACTTCTGAAACCTTTAAAAGCAGGAAATTATTTAAAATATACAAAATATGTGTGCTGGTATTTACAGTGATTGCGGCAAATCAAGTGGATTCGTACTATCGCGCAGCCTCCTTCTTATACACCTCTGCTGAGTTTCCTGAAGCTCCGATTCGGCATATGTCTCCTCAACTACCATCCGAAAGGCAATACTATGCATTATTTTAATGTTTTCTTTAAAAACTATTAAATTCAACAAATAGTTTAAACTTTTGAATTTCCTCAATTCACACAGAAATGTCAAAATGAGTTGTCATTTGCTTTGCCAAAATCGAAAATTCGAAATTCTCTTTCCCTTTTCCTCTTCACTCCGCTAGTTTAGAATAGGGGGATTTTATCTCGAGAAAAGTAAAATCCGC